CCAGAAATCCCATTTAGCTTAGTTAGGAGAACTATACAGATTGATGGATGTTGTACCTGAGTTTACAGGGAATAGAAGCAGGTATACATCATTTTTCAGCAAATCTGTTCTTGATTATCCACTTGTACCATTTTATTTTATCACTTATAAGAAAAGATCTCAAAAATCATCAAATCAAACCATCATCCTCAAGGTAAAAAAGCTTTTTCCTTATAACCACTTAAACCTCTTGCACCTGCTCTCTATCGTATTCCACCATGAATCTCTGAAGGACCCTGCTCTGTGTTTTCTTAAAATCTCCCCATAGTGACTGCTAGGTTGCTGTTAGACCTTCCTGAAGCTCTGGTAGCAATCCTGAGCTGGATCTTATGAAACAGATCAAAAGGTAACAATTAATGTCCTAGGGCTAAAGCTGTCCTCCTACCAAGTATTTTTTGTATCTTTTTGTAAAAAGAGGAATATGCCAAAAGCCCAAGAAACAGAAATGCATAAACTGTGTAAAAGGCCTTCCTATATGCAAGAACACAGAAACAAGTCAGATTTTGATGCTGAACATTCAACAGCACTTAAGTGGAATTCAGAAAAAAAAACCTTTATACCTCTTATTCAGTAAAAACAAAATGCACTTAGATTATAAATGTAAGACATCTATCAAATTATTAAGACAAAAGACAGTGTATATTACCTTCAGCAATTTCTCTAAATTTTGCTTCTGCTCCAGGACTCTTATTTTTGTCTGGGTGGTATTTCATAGCCAGCTTGTGAAATGCCTTCTTAATCTGGCGGTCAGATGCATTTTTTGGAACTCCTAAGATATCATAATAGCTCTCTGTAGCCAGTATTAATTCAGTTATCATTAAAATGCAGAGAGCAAATGTGAAGACAGATTGTGTAGTGGCCATTTTTCCAGTTCCTAAAAAGAAAAGGAAGCATACTTGAAGAATAAGTTACTTTACATTTCACAACAACTTACTTACAACAGTAGGCTGGCAGAGGAAGACCAGTATGTTTCAGGAGTCAATGACAGACCTGTAAGTGCACTGTTTTACACCTGTCAAACTCCATTATGCTGTTTTCATAGTCACAGAATATGTAAGTGAAAATACTGCAAAGTGACATTTCACATACATAACAATTCACCTTTGTTTTACACTTAACTGATCGTTGTCATTCAGAGTTGCAAAAGTAAATACACACCACATTCCACTGCATCCAAGGTTTCACACTGCCATACCTGAACTAGCTTTACAATAATCCTTGAGTTCTAGGACCCTAAATACAGCAGCTCTAAATTAAGCACAGGCTGCAAAAACTGACTCTACTGGACAACCAATTCACTGATTAGCTGGTGCAACAAAAGAAGCCTGAAAACACAACTGGCCTAGAGATGACTGTGAGGTGCAGGAAGACAAAACTGTTAAGACACTCATGCTCAGCTTCAGTTTGTTTAACCAACCTAAGGGGAACATAATAAAGAGCAGATCATTCATTTCCATAGTTCAGCCAAGTAAAGCACATTTTCCTTTATTTAACAATAGGCTGGCTTAGCTCATCTGCATATCAGATTGCATTATAAAGGAAAACACCTACCATATCTCTGATATCAAAGAATTCATCTGATAAATACCACTGCATAGAAAGGTTTACATATGAATCCCTCAGTGTCGGAAGTGAAGGTAAAAAACATCTTTTACACAAGCAAGTAGCTCCAACAATAATCAAAATCTGTAACTTTTTTTTCAACAATACATCTGTCAGAAAGATATATTTTGAAACAAATATATGAGAACTTAGGGGAAAATTACGGCATATATAAACTATTTAAGAAAATAGTTCCATATAGCCACATGATGTCTCATGGTTTTTATTAAGGACAGGGTGAGCTGATCCTCTAGATCTGCTAGAAGGTGAGAACAGATAATATGCCAGTGCATATTATATTTAAAACACAGAGTGCAGAAAGGCAAATGTTCAAATACAGGATGCTGGCTGACACCTGACCAGAAGGATGCACAACACGACCCAGAACATTACAGATGTAAAGTGACCCCGCAGTGTACCAGATTACACTGATTTTAATGTAATGTAAGAACAACTCAGAGACAACTGATGTTACTCTCCTGGAAGTTGAATAAACAAACTTACAGTCTGAGCACCATTAAAGTTAGAATACTTTTGCTAGCCAGCATGGGACCCAATACTTGTCAGGCAGAATTCAAAACTTTTGAGTATTTTATAAATACGAAAATTAAGTATTTACCTGGAAGTCAATACACTCTAAACAAAATTAAAATGCAAGAACCAAAAATTTGAAAAAATAATACCATTTCTAATAGGTTAAGTCAAGGGGCTAAAATGAATGCTGTGTGACAAGAGCAAAAGGCTTGCAAGATTAATCTACTCATGCCCTCTTAAGCATTTATTTGGCCAGCAGCCTGCACGATATCAAGTGTTAAGGGGCAGCAGTCGAAACAAATTGTATTTCGATCAGTGTACTTAGATACCAAATGAACAGCTCTTTCCAGTATTCTTCATGCACAATATCAGACATATTTTTAGTACAAAGTTTTCCTACATATCTTCTCTCATCACTTCACTAACCTGAAATTTTACCACTTGGGCACTATGAACTATACACATGTACATCCTTCCACGCTTTTGGGGCTTTCTTCCTGTTTGTGCTTTATAGATGCAGACTTAAGTGTTCATCTCACACATGTGATTCTTTTTATTTACTTCATTAACCCACACCTGCATCATCCTTGCATAATCACCTGCTGCATTCTCTTAAGATCAACTATCCTTCTTCTACTATTGAACACTGAAAAGAACTAAAAGGAACAGTTCATGTCCTCCATTAAGAGCAAAATACTCTTTCATAACTCATGAGAGGCAGAGATCAAGTTAGTCCTTTCAGATTTTCTGCTCTGGCTAACCATCTCAACTTGTATTATTCTTTATAGCAAAATACACCTGAATTTTTCTTTTTCTACAGTTCTTTACGTTAGGAGTTCTTGAATGAAGTTCTTTGCTATATTTGATGTAAAAAGCATAGTAAAAAACCAGTACTTAAGTTTCACTGTTTTTTAAACTAGCAAACATAGGTTGAATTCTGCCCTTGAACAAATCAATCAAACTCAAATTTAAGAATAAGATGTAAATGAAAACCAAAAACAAATAAAACTCCAGTATAAGCAGCATTAAACTTCATAGGTTCATCAACGAGAGCAAGTCTTATATTTAGATACTGACAATTATTAAATTTACTTTTTAGAAAACACCTATTTTATATGCTGTCAGTATCCCAGTGTTGCTGCTGTCAACTACTTCAGCCCTGCCATTCCTAACTATTTTTTACAATCCTTTTCAAAAGAAAGTCTCTTTTAAATATTTTTTTTGCTTATGTTTCTTCACCCACTGTTTCTCAATCAAAAAGCAACATGTAAGTTGCACTTTCCCGGCCATACACTGTAGCTACTTAAACCACATTCCAGAATTCAATAAATTCTGTACACATTAAGCTCATACCATAATGAGCTCTTCTAATAATTATGACGAGCTACACTTTATTTAGGTACATCTGTCAATGAAGTAAGAGACCTTATGCCACATAGTAACTATTTAACTCTGTTGGGTGAGAAGGTACAGATCTCAACTACTGTTCACCTTTGTATAAAAAGTGCACAGTCTAATGTTTATCCAAAGTACTGCAGAGGTGATAACAATCAGTTCTTCGTTAGTTTATTAACATTTATCAATAGCTGCACAATGAAGTGATGTTTGAGGATGATGTACCTAGACTAAATCCTATCAGATTTAGAAAATAAGAAGCTACTTCATCTTGCAACACAAATACCCTAGTCCATCCTTCTTCGAAAGTAATAGACCAAAATCTTGAATAAATGCTTTTATTCAAAGTCTCTCATACTCAGAGAACACGAAGCATCACTAGTGTTCTGCTACTGCTTTCGTTACAGAATTGTTATACACTAACCTGCGGAACGCTCACGTCCTATAATTATTTCTACAAACAATTTACTAGTAGTAATAAAGTAACCGAGGTCCTCCCCTGGTTCTCCTACCACGACTAACCCGATGAGTAAGCAAGTCTTGCAGTCCTCAAGCAGCTACAAGCAAGTCTGTCAAACTGAGTGACTCGTACTCGTCTTGGCCTCTCCTATACTAACTCGAAAGCAAATACAGAAGAAGGTTCCTGGATCTTGCCCTGGAGCACAGGGAAACGAATCAACCTGGCATCACGCTGCCAATCCAGACCCCTGAAGACCTCGCTGGAGCCGGACCGCACCATCGGGTGGGGCCAGGCCAGAGCTGGGCTGCCGCTAACAGCCACACTGAGCGACGCTGTCCCAGCACCAGTGCAGCTCGGCTGCGAAACACCACGGCAGCGTTGCCCAGAGAAGCCCAATTTCCAAAGAAATGCTCCGGACGGAACCTCAGTGGCCCCCCTCTCAGCCGCCCCCCCCAATTTCCCACGCTGCCCCCAAGCTTCCCAGCACCCCTCCCCCCACTACCCCTCCGCGTCCGCCTTCACTCCACTCACTTCAGCCACCTTCCACTTTCTCCCAGCCCTCACCCAGCGGCCGCGGCCCTTCTCCGCCGTCCTCACCTCAGCGCCGGCCCCGCTCCCGCGCCGGCCCCGCTCCGACTTTGTGGAGTGACGCCGCCGCCGTTCCCGCCCGCCCGCGCCCGGCGCTCGCGCAGTCCGGCCCCCCGCGGTTTCTACACGAAGCGCTGCGCCATTGGCCGCCCGGGCGCACGTGACGCGGTGCACGAGGGAGGTCGCAGCCGCGCCGCCTCCGCCACCCGCCTCTGGGGGCGCTGTGAGGAGGCGGCACCGCCCCCAGCCCGGCCCCGCTCCTGGTGCCGGTCCCGGTCCGGCCGTAGCCGCTATGCCGCGGTACTGCGCCGCCACCCGCTGCAAGAACCGCGGCGGCCAGAACGCCAAGGACCAGCGCAAGCTCAGCTTCTACCCGTGAGTGGCCGCGGAGCGGGGCAGGGTCTGGGTGAGCGCTGGCCGTGCGGGTGGTAGTGAGCCTCACCGCGGAAGTAAATAGCCGAAAGACTCAACGCCACCGATAGACCACACTGGTGGTTACCTTTGAACCCCGCCCGGTCCCGGGAGGCTGGAGGGAAACAAGGTTGACCCCCTGAAGGAAGGGAAGGTGTAGGGAATAAAGAGTGGACAGCTGGGACATAATCACACGCACACACACCGTCCCTCACAAGACGGAACTTGGGGAGCGGGCGGTGATCCGCAGCGTCTGAGAACTCTGGAATAGCTGCGGAGGGTCCGTACAGTGAAGAGCAAGGAGATTCGACTAAAAAATAAAATTTGCGCTTCTGATTCTGTTTCGCTCATGCCTGTATGGAAGCGATGTTCCAGCACGGCAGGCAGTCGTGGAAGCTTTGGCTTAATGGTGAAGTGTCTTGTGTATGACGATATACAAGCCAGGAGAAGGGCCCGGAAGAGTAAGCAAGTAAACATATGATTATATTATTATAACATTCCTTAAAATTAAACTTCCCCAGTAGAATTACTGCCTTACCTGCGCTGTGAACAGAGGCATTGCTGGTTGTTTGGAAGCAGCTGAGTTAGCTGGAACTCGGCTACCTCGGTTACCAAAGCGCAAGTTTATGGTGGCTGCATTGTCCAGACACTGCAAGGACAGTCACCATCCCCGGCCTGCAGTAACCTCTGCACTCTTCTGGTTACGTGGCTGTCGCCTCCCAGGATGGTGAGTTATAAACTATATCGCAATCCTGAGAGAGGCACAGTGCAGGTAACTAAATATTAATGTATTTGTGTAGAATGAAAGTATGGAACTCTTTGTAAACAGAAGCAACTTAAGAAGAATTTGAAAAATAAGTTTCACAATTAGCCTCAAAATCTGTTTTGGCAAAATTTGTACATCAAACCAAGTTTTCTTTCAGTTTCTGATTAGTCATGATTATTCTAAGATCAGGAAGGCTGTGTAGGAAGACCTACAGGAAGACTGCTTTGAAAAAAATTTATTTTAGATTGAAGGAAAGCTTATTTCCCTGGCACATTTCTAATATGGAATGCATCATAAAACAATCATGAAAATAATTTATTTTCCCTTATGCTTTAGAGAGTGTGAGTGTGACATGGATAATCAAAACAAATTTGAGCACTGAGACATGTTTATATCCAAATGTATGTCATCAGTATGGAGATGATTGCCAAAACTTAGCTGTTCTACCTAGCCTTTGAGTTGTGCTGCATTCTGAGCTTCATGCCTGTAGAAGGGGTGCTGAGATTTGATTTATAGATTTCCCTTGGCTTATATTAGTGACTACTACAGACATGAATTGCAGGTTTTATTCCCTTGCCTTTTACCACCAACGAAGAAGTCCTCTGCTGCTCTGTGGCTGGGGTCTGCGTCCCTTCCAGACCTTTGTCACCTAATCTCAACTGGCCTAACTGCCCTTCTTTGTTTTATTTCTTCACTTCTCTGACTTTGGTAGTGATGGCAGCTGCTAAATAAATTCTACTTCCTCTTCCCATTTCCCTTTTTTTTTTTGTGTCTTGTTTATGCCAGAGAACAGATTCTGTTGATTAGTGAGGGGGTGTTAGAGAATGAGCAGAATTGAGAATTAGTGAAGTTGCCTTTAAGCTAAAATAATAACTTTCACTGTCAAACCCTTCTCTTGAAGAAATAATCTACAGATTATTTTGTTTTCCATCTGAAGCTGATTGAGTCTGGTAGATCAGTGGGTCCTGTGTTGTGAGGGTAGCTGCAGTGGGAGCAAGTGTTCTCAAGGCCTTCTTGGAGAGGATGTGGTTGGTGACATGACCTTCAATGAAAGGAAGCCATCATCTTCCTGAGAGATGTTTTTGGACCTCTGTAGTAACACCCAGGCTAAGCTGTGTTACAGAGGAGCGTGCTCTGTCATACATGCAAAGCTGCCTCTGGGTGTACATGATCTAAGCAGGATTTGGAAAGCCTGAACCTCTAACTTGTCCTCCAGAGGTTACTGTGTTCTTACCAGCACTATTCCTTGCATTCCTGCAGATATGCAGAGCTGGATGCTTCAAAAGCTTGCTCTGTTTCCTTAGTAATTTGAGGACTTACATGACAACAAATTCAAAAGATTGGGGAAGGGGTGAATACATTCACCTTTATGCTGTGAATTCAGCCCTCTTTCTCTCAAAATCACCTGAGTTTGCTGTTTTGAAACACAGGCCTTGTGTAAGAGTCATTGCTACGTGTGGCTTTTGGAGGAAACTTGCAGCTCCAGGGATTTGAGGGTAGGATCACAAAAGTGGAGATTTTCCCTCTGTAATTATTATTGCTCATGATTCTCAGGAATATTGTTTTCTTAACAGTAGTCACTTAACAGTGCTCAGAATTCAATTTATGGTTTATGTGTCATATGTAGTTATATGCTAGAGTTAAAATAAAATTGATATGCACCAGAGAAATATAGAAGCACATTTCAGATACCCTTATACCTGTCTGAGGAGAGGTGAGAGATAAGAGTGGTCTGAATGTTCGTGTTCCCTTTACCATCACCTCTTGACTGTGCGTGCATCATAATAAGCCTTTAGTTTCCCTTCAGTTTGTCATTAAGTAAATTTCGTGTCTTCACACACTTTCCTTTTAATTTAATTGAATCAGAAAGTTCTCTTTCTGATGTAATTTGTCTGACCATTTGCATGTATTTTTAAAGTCAATTTTTTTTTCTATGAAGGTATATACTTGTCATTTTCCTTTTCAGGTAGATTAGATGATTGAAAAGTTAATTATAAATTATAAATTATGAGAAATTATAAAATACGATGTGGGCTCCTAATGAGAAAGTTTAATTGATGAAACACAAAATATAGAAATGCTTTGCATCTGCGTGCATTTACTTTTGAACAAAATTTAAAACTTGTATTGGAAATATTCACATTGCCAAATTATCTAATAATCTGAAGAGGAGCATGTATTAGGAGGTACTCTGTTTAATAGAAAATCCTGGTTGTGTCTAGAAAGACAAGCCCTAGAAATACTATTAATAAAATGAGGACCAATCTTAACTTTCTTTAAATTAAGTCTCAGTATTTCATCTCCCTTCAGTAGAACTGCTTTCTGAACAAGTGTTGTCGGATCAAACCTTTAAAAACACCTTGGCCATGGATTCTGAAACCCTTGGCTAGCAGAAATCAGAAATTCTGCTGCTGAACTCAGAGAAAATACCCAACTAGGAATAATTTGGATAATGTTTGGTTAACATGTACAAGACATCCAGATTAGCATTTAATACTTAAAATTTTTGAAAAATAATTAATTTAATCTTTTCTAAAGGAAGGCTACTTCTAAGTAACAATGAGATATTCTTATTTAAAACAAAGAAAGACAACAATAATGGAGGCTTTGTATATTTTCTTGTTTGTCTTTTCAACTGCTTTAAAAAGATTTCCACTTCATGATAAAGAGAGACTTGAGAAATGGTTGCGGAATATGAAGAGAGATTCATGGACTCCAAGTAAGCACCAGCTCCTCTGCAGTGATCATTTTACCCCTGATTCCCTGGATGTGCGATGGGGGATACGGTACTTGAAAAATACTGCTGTGCCAACTATTTTCTCTTCCCCAGATGATGAGGTAATCTATTTCTATCTTTTTATCTTTTTTTGTTGTTGTTTTGTAGTACAAAGCTAACCAACTATTGATGTAATACAGATTTTCTAATCTGTCAGATAATCATATTTTACTTAAAAAATAGAATTCCCATCCATCAAATGGATGTACTGACACAGAACAGGTATATGATTCCATAGTGTAAAGGAAAAACAACTTCCCCTAGTTTGAGTGGAGTGGTTCAATATCTTTTTTTTAACTGAAAATTACAGAAGCATTTACTATAGAAAATGTTAAATTTCTTATGAGAATATTATGCTTCTAAGCTTTTTCTTATGCAATTACTCTTAATATTTTAATGTTCTTTTAAGGTCTTTTATTAGCTGTAGAGAAATACTGGCTTTGGAATGTATTCGTTTCAAGCTACGTACTTCTCTTTCCTGTCCCTAACCTTTAACCTCGGAGCTCAGGACTGTAGACTGCCAAAGACAATCTACAAAGACTAGTCCATCTTGTCTTTCACAGATTTATGCTATTGGTTACATAAAAATACTGTGCTACCCAGGCACCTAATCTTGATCAAACCTATGCTAATTCTCTTCTAGCTTGTATTTATCTTCCTCTGGATCATCAGTTGGAGGTGGGAGGAATGGAAGGCTGGTTTTAAGGCTAAATAGGTGAAACTGAAATATGTAGCTAATTAATTTTACAAAACAATTTCTTTTTAGTCACAAAGTACTCTGTCTTCTTGAACATCTGCAATTGTTGTCTAGACTCTTGACTTTGTGGAGTGAAAATTGATCTTGATAAATCTCTCAAATACAAAAATAGAAAATCTTGCAAGTTGTGGCAGTACTAATTTAGCAAGAAATAACTTTGCTTTAACCTCCCCCCTGCCCTGGTTCAATAGATCCCTCACATTCCTGTGCTACTATTGACAACTCTTCAACAGCAACAGACAGCAGTAAATTTGGAACTGGACTTTGCTGTCCCGTGCTTCTGTGCACAGATAAGCTGTGTTTTGACCCCAAAGAAAGGTTTTCTGTTATCAACCTCTTCATTCTCTTGATTTGCATGTGACCATAGACCAGTCATAGTACACCTACAAGGGTGGACAGTAGAGTTACTAAGGTAGCAAACTTTTTATGCAAAAACTTTTGTGGTGCCAAGAACATATCAATGACTTCTCTGAATTATTTTGGCATCAGCAATATATATCTGAGAAATCCCAGATGGATTTACTCAGTTTGGAAAAGTAATTTCTGTGCTTATTTTTAATATATTCATCATTTTCCTGCTATCAAAAGAAAAAAAATATGCCAGTGCTTTGTACCTGTGATTCTGTGAACTTGCTTTCCTGTGGTCTCACTTCTCTCTCTGGCATTACTTTATTCTCCCTGCACTTTTCTGAACATCAAGTCACATGTTTTTAGTGACCACCTCAGCAAATCAACAATATCTTTTTACTTGACCTCTAGTTCTCTACTTGCCCCAAACCTTAACTTTGTACATAGACTGAGTATTCAGAAAAAATATGGATATTAATTCTTATTTTGGGGAAAAATTTCTGATTAGTGTGTCTCTGACTAAAGGTTGAGGAAAAGGAAACTGAGGCTTCAAACTGCCTTTGGAAACATGAGAGCAAAGAATTGCTGTATTTGCGTATTGCTCACCACCACCTTGCTTTATGTATTACTGAGCAAGTGAAGGAAGTCTTCCCAGAAATGCTTAATGATTCTTCATAAAACATTTCATTCTGTTTCTTCTTCTAAATAAAGAATGTTTGTGGCTTAAGAGCAGTGACAGTTGCTGGCATTTCAGTATCAGTAACCATTCTACATTAGCTTGCAAGGGTTTTTATTTGAATATTGACCTACAAGTGGGAGGGCAGGGACTGATAGACAAGGAGGTTTTCAATGCAAGTTAGAGTCTTCCTTTAAGCAACTGTCCTGAGACTTGTTTTGGTGCATTTCCTTCAACGTTAATGGCAGTTCTGCTATATGAGATTTTGGGAACATTTATATAATATATTTTGTAAGAGATTTGTCTAGTTAAAATACATAGTCTGAGACAGTCTTTTTCAGCTGCAGATAAGACAGAGAAAGGGAACTGCTTCATTTTCACAAAATCCCAAAGACTGACATGATGTTAGGTATTGTCTTGGAAAACGTAAAGGTAACCAAATGAATGCTGTTTCTGTATAAATCTTCCAGTTCTTCTGAGGCTGAAATTTCAAATAAAACTGAATCACAAAGTTGAATGCACTTAGGATACTTCAGATTACATACATACTTTTAGGAACATACATTTTGAAATTATCTTTTTCATTGTAATAAATTTTTTCAGCCTGGCCTCTTTTTTTTTTAATTTCTTTTTCCTGTTTTCCTTTTTGTTTTTGAATTTTTTGGTTGGTTGGTTGGTTTGGTTGAGGTTTTTGCCTGGCCTATATTTAATTAGCAAAGTTAAAATTGTTTATTTTTCTGTTTCTTTGTTCTGTATGTTTTTTTGTTTTAGTTCCCATGTACACAGTTTTGCATGAGTACAGATTCTTCAGAGTGCTCTTTATGTAATTAGATCTACTAGAAAAAATAAGACTCCCACTATTTTTGTATTTTTGTTTCACTGACTGACATACCTAAAAGTATTATTATTATTGTTATTATTTATTACAAATATTATTTATTACAAATATAATTATTTGTGTATAATAAATATAATGTAATCAAATTTAATCATGTGATGTAGTTTATGTGAAGGAAGGGAAAAGAAAGTGGCTAAAAAAGGATAAGCTTCAAATTGTCTCAGTATCAATTTCTGTTTAAAGTCCTGTTAACTTTGTATTTTTCTGCTAAGGTCTCTATCTATAAACAAAAAAAAGGTTTCCATTTTTATAAAGTGTAAAATTTAGTTGGCAGAATTGAATTGGTGGTTTACAATCATCTTTAATGCAAGAACTTTGTACTGTGTACATTTAATACATTTAATACAATGTTTCAGATGGTAATAGAAGATGCCAGCTAGTCTTTGTGTAGCCCCTTCTCTTCAAGTGCATTTAAAATTATGGTATCTTGTGTGTAAACCAGTACAAATTCCCTAGAGTTTTACAAAAACCCACAATAAAACAAATAAAAAAACCCAAACCACAATAAGAAAAAAAAACAACAACTAAAAAACCTAACAGTATTATTGCTTTTAGAGCTTTAAAAATAGTATTTTAACATTTAGGACCTGAAGCAAAGTTGTGGAAGATGCTTACATGAATTCTGAGGCCTCTGATGTAATTTTTAAACAGTACTCATCTAATATAGTCCTTTTGCAGTAGCGTGCTATAAATGAGACTTAATTTTTTTATGCTTAGTTATTTTCTTGTTACAAGGTGGTGATTTTCTTTTTTTTATTTTTTTTTTCTCCTCCAGGAAAAAGATTCTTCTGAGAACAGTTCACAACAGGTACAGAGAGAAGAGCAGGCAGAAACAAATGTTGTGTCGGAGAAAGTATCTGTACCGCTTGAACCTTGTATACCAAAGAAAAATCCTGTAATTGCACAAAATGTAGAGGAAAAGGTGTTTTTTTCAGAAGTGGGTTGCTCAACTGCACTGAGTAAACCTTTACAAATTCAAAACCTGCAGCTTCCAGATGAAGGTGGCTTTCAGGCAGACAGTGTCATTCTTGATAGTTCTTCTGAGCAGTATATACATCAGCCTAATCCTGTTTTAATGACAACAGCAGTCCAGAGCATGGAAGGTACTAGTGTTCAAACTTCTGTAGAGGATTCAGGAGGTTGTACAGCTACAGTCCTGCAATTTACAGACCCTGACTACTTGAATTCATCTCTGAAACTGAACAATGCTTTTGGGTCAGTTACTGACCATGCAGTTGAAAATTCTGTCCCTCACGTGGTCTGTTCTGGTGAAGTGCAGACCTGTGAAGATGCAGTTTTACTGAGTACAGTCACACAAACTATTGAACAGTTCAGTGGAAGTGAAGAGTCTGTCATTGCTATTATTATGCCAGCTGAGAGTCCAGAAGAGCCTGAAAGAGTAAGTAGTTCTTTCCTGCCTGTTAAGGAAGAGTTTCTTGATATAGACAAGACAGAAGTGAATAAATATGACGGAAATGAAATACTGCAGACTGAGCATTCATACTGCAGACAAGACATAGACAGAGATCACCTTTGGCAGAAAATTTCAAAACTCCACTCTAAGATAACTTTACTTGAAATGCAGGAGGTAAAAACTTTGGGGAGACTCAGGTCCTTGGAAGCTCTTATTAGACAATTGAAGCAAGAAAACGTGCTTTCTGAAGAAAAGCTGAAGATGGTAGAAAACTACTTTACAACACTTGAAGTGACTATGATACAGTAAAGACTTTCAGTTGATGGTTCTAAAATATCTTTTTAGTCTCTTTGACTGTACTTTTGGACAAATAAACTTTGTTTCCAGTTTTGGTGTTTTAAACATCTAATGCTAGTTGTGTGAATTTTAAATACTCTTTAAAATATTACATCAGTCAAAGCTAAGTGGAGAATTTTGTCTGTAAAACATGACTGACAAGTATGATTAAAAAAAACCAACCCTGAATTGGGTGAAGTTTTCTTAAGTATGTGAATTAAGTCAGTAAAACATAATTTAACCCTTCCTTAGCTGCAGGCTTCTTTGAAACATGCAATGCCTGCATTTGGGACAGCAGTAGAATTGACAGAATAAGCATATAGGATGAACAATTATATATGTGTATATATATATATATATATATATATATATATATATATATGCATTGTCCAGTGAGGCCAAAATTGCTCTTTAGTTTTCTGTTCATCTAACATTTGTTCTGATAGTTTTTTGTACGCTTTAATATTATTAAAATTGTTTCTGCATAAAAGGTGTTTTCTTTCATTTGTTTCTAGAAACAAAAATTCTCATAAGAATATTGTTCCAGTAGACAGGCCCATCTCATTTTTAATTTTTTTGTTGGGATTCAGCTCAAGTGGAAAGCAATCTTAATCATAGATATTTTTGCTAGTTAGTGAAAGGGAGAGCTCTATTTAGTGAGTGCTGTCTGCATTGATCCTCTTACAGCCTACAGCTGAGTAATGCATGTACCCTTAATAATACACAGAAGAAAATGTTCTACAGAGCAGGTTGCTAGTGGAAGTAGCAGAATTTTACTTTGCAAGAAACGGAATTACAGAACTAGAAAATTACTCCCCTTTACTGATTTTATTAACTATTTCTAGTGCATAGGTTATCACTGTAGTAGACAGATACTGTAATTCATTCTGAGGAAAATTAATTTGCTTAAATACTTTCTGCTTATTCTGTCAGCGTCCCACTCTTTGGATCTAGTACGCTCTAGTACAGTGAAAAAGTCCTAGATCGTCTGGTCCCTGATGAGACATCATCGCTGCGCTAGGTGATCCTTGTTACACCCCTTCCAGCTGAACTCTTCTGGTATATTATATTCTACGACCATTAGATTGCTTGAGGATGTGTTTTTAGTTATTCAAAATGGTGTCATCACCACCACCACAAGTTCAGTCTGGGACTGGAGCAAATTAGTTCCTTTTCAATGTTATTTATATTCTCTTTTACACACTTTCTAAACTCTTCTGGTAATCTTTTCATGAGGAATTTAGAATCAGTTCACAACAGCTGCGAAGCTGGCCTCCAACTGGATAATATGTTAGAAACAAATTTCAAGATTTTTGAGGCTTGGAATATCTTGAAGTGCAGAAGTTGGCCTGCAAAAGCATAATGTTGTAGGAGGTTAGTCTGCATTAGTAACCACAGGATTAAGCTTACTTTGTCCTTCAACTCATTAACTTCTTTCAGACTTTAAGCACAGGTTATGCTTGGTAAAATTGCTAAAGTACATAAAGGTCACTTATTATATGGTGAGTTACTTACCTTGTCTCTGACCTGCTCATTTTGCTCTCCCTGTAAGAAAAGAACATTCCTGTTCTGCTTTGTGTGCTATGAAATCACAAGGAGTGTCCTGTGTACTGTAGAAACACTGCTGCCATATCTGATCCCATCTTGGGAACATTGTCCAGGTGGCCCCTCTGAACTGCACATTTTGTAATGTTTTACAGAGTAAGACATCTTTCAAAGCGAATTACAAAATGCTATATGAAATTGCTAAATGAGCTGGCAATTTTAGAAGTTTCATCAATGTACTTGAAATCCTCTGCTAATGCTGGTTATTTTAAGACTAACAACCCATTTCAAAAGTTCACTGTAGTCCTTGAATGGCAGTGAGAGCTCAGATATGGCAAAAGAGTTGCAACACCATAAGCTGTTGTCTCAGCAACACTTTCACCCAAAAATTTGTGGGGTTTAATATGGAATTTTCATCGCTGATATATTTTTGCTTTTACTAAGAGCTTACAGTATTAAAATTGAGAATGTTGTTCATGGCATAGGTTTCTTTAAATGGGGGGAAAAACCCCAAATGCTCAGTTTTCCTTTATTTTATGGAGTTTCTTGGGACTTATGTGGGTTGACTTTGGCTGGATGCCAGCTACCCACCAAGCTGTTCTATGTCTCCCAGCTGGACAGGAGAGAGAAAACCAGATGGAAAACAACTCACAGGTTGAGATAAGGCAGTTTACTAAAGCAAAAGCAAAAGCTTACATGTCACATAAGCAAAGAGAAGGAAAAAGAAGTATTAATTCTCTGCTTCATACTGGCAGTGACATTCAGCAACTTCCCAGGAAGCAGCGCTTCAGCATGTGGTTGCTCCAAAAGGCAAATACTGTAAACAACAAATTCCCCCCCTTCCTCTTCCTTCCCTTAGTGTTTACATGTGAGCTGATACTATATGGTATGGAATATCCCTTTGGACTACTTGGGTCAGCTGTCCTGGTTGTGTCCCCTCCTGAGATCTTGCCCACCCCTGGCCAGGAGTTTGGGGAGACTGTGCTCATGCTGTGCCAGTGCTGCTCAGCTGCAGCCAAAACACCGGTGTGGTATCAGCACCTTTCCAGCTACCAGCGCACAGCACAGCACCGTGAGGGCTGCTCTGGGGAAATGAACTTTGTCACAGTCCTAGGTTATAGCAGAAACACTCAGTAACTCTACAAGCCTCTCCTCAGGTCTTCAAATTTCACTTCAGAATGTGTTTCGGATCAATGGGCCCAGGGTGGATATATTAGTTTAAAATGAATTAGCATTATAGTTGGCTGTTGCTGCTGGCAGGAAGAAATGTCTGGTCCTTTGCTTCAATTATACACTAACCCTGAATTATTACAAGTAAGGAGAAATGGCATGTTGAGAATCAACAAACCCCTCTGAATTAGATGCTATGTGTGCAGTGCGATTTCAGTGTTTCCTAATCATAAAGTGCAACCTTGCACACACACAATTTTAGTTCACTAAGCTTTATGGGCACTTGTGCTATATATTACTCCTGCAACTTTTGTGAGAGGTTGCAGCTGCACAGTAATAGGTACCACTAAAGACCCACCTCCATTCTGAGAAACCCAGGAGACACTGTGAGCAGCAGAATGAATTCTTTAAGCACCCAGGCAGAACCAGACAAATTCCACATCCAGCCCTGAGAAAAGGCATTAGAGGTGAATGATTTGGTTCCTCTCCACGAATTCCACAAGCAGGAAGTGTCTTGTTGTGTTGTAAGGCTGGAGCAGAAGCAGCAGCTGCACTCTGGGGCCTTGTGAGATGCTCAGGGAAACGGGAGGCAGGAGTGGGCTTTGGCATTGGCACTGGCAGACGTGCTCCTCCGTGGGGCATCTCTGCACCAATGCAGCACCAATTGCAGGTGCTGTCCCCCCTCGTTGCATTCCCGATGCCAGGCACAGCTCAAAGCTGCAGAGAAAGCCAAGTAGTGTGCTGGAAGTCATGAATTGCCAGCACCAAGGCAGGAGGGGAGAGAAACAGAGAAAGGGAGCAGGGCAGATTATATGCTCATTAATTACTTAAAAATTATCTTAGATTGGGACAAAAAAAATACTATCCTTTGTTCATTTATGAGGCAATTTTTTGACTTACTAACATGAGCTAATTTAAATTTCTTCAGCCTCAAGTGGATCTCTGTAAATACTTTAGAATTTTATTCCCACTTAGGAAAAAAAAAAATAATTAAAAATCACTGCTCTATTTTCTCCTTTACTAGAACCAGTGTAATGGATTTCTGATTTACCAGACCATTTACTGCTACCAAGATATGAGTTTCAGCCAAAATGTTTTCCACAAAGAAAACAGTTAGAATAAAGCATCTAAACAGACGTTTTACAGGAAACATATCTCTTGGCGTTGTTAAATATTATGGGGCACATTGCAAAAAATTATCACTGTTTAAATACCTGCCTTTCCTGTAAATGATTGACATTTCTGAGCACACAAAAGCAATTTAGAAGGTATTTTCATAGCCATTCAAAAAGGTTAAACCGTATAGATGCTTATGGAATGTATGTACATTTCTATATAAAATAGAAATTAGAAAAATAGAAATTTAGTTATTTTGCATATTACTAAAGCAGCAGTGCTCCCTGTAAACAGCAGATGGTGCTACTGGATCACGCTGCAGAAGTGAAACTAAAGACATGCATTTTATTTTTATTCTGTTGTTGATTAAACATATGCAAACAGATTAACAATGCGGGGTTTGGGACTTTTTTCCCCCTTATTTCAGATGTATCTTTAAATCTCAAATGTATCTTTGATACGGAAGGGTAGAGTATGAACAAAACAGTGTGACATTCTCTTCAATCTTACAGAAATAAAGCTTCAGATAAAATGAAACTCATTTATATTCTGAACATAAAACATTAAACTCGAGAGCCTTCTGCTCAAATGAATGGCAGAAAGAAATGTATTCACTGTCCTTACGTGGAGCATGATTGCATTCCTCATTTGTTGAAGTGGGTCAGTGATTACTGTTTGAATCCCGTCAACAGTTTAGCATTGCTTATTTGCATATTAATCGGGATAATAGAGTGAGTGTTTAATCACACCCTTCATCAGGGGTGTCTGGTTTGCTGCTCAAGCACTGCAGCCATGCTTTTGAGACGGGGAAGATATGTGCACAACATCTTATGTGTGGCATAACGCCCTTCGAATTTTGCTGAGAATATACAACTTGAGACGATCAGAATAGGTGAGTGTTGGTCGTACACACACAAGAAAGTTTCTTCTTCCTTTTTTCGGTGTTACTTTCAAAATGTTACAGATATTTGGGCATTACAGTAAAGGTTAGAAGTGCATATGTGATTTTCTGGATGAAAGGAACAGGGCAGCAGCAGTGGCACTGCAAAACCAGATAGTGAAGGGATATGTATCAAGGCAACCCCTGGCTTCAGAGGCATAAATAATCCTCAAGGATGGTTGTTGTTTCTCTGAGTCCTCAGTAAGTGGTGGTCAGTTCCTCCACCACAGCCTCCTGAAAGAAGTCATCTCACCTGACTCTGTATGTCTCTACCATGAGGTGCACCACAATTTAATTCTCTTTGATAGGAAGAAGAAGAAATTAACTAAGTAAATGTCTGCTCATCTACTGAATATAGCTGGGGGATATTCTAGATATATATTTTATATATATAAATACATAATGAATACCCAAGTATATAGTATATAGCATATAGTATAAATACCTAAGTTCCCTAATACAAATCTCACTTGTTTCCAAATGTGAATCACTTTTAGTTCTCAGACAGGGGCTAGTTAGAAAGACTAAAGTCCAACACGTAGGAATTGGGCACAACAGTCCTTCAAAATTGAGCCTCAAGTTTCCTGTACAGACAGTGACAAGATTAAGATCTTGGAAAATTCTAGAAGGGATTTTGCTCA